GATGATAGTTATAATAATTTTATTTTTTATACTGAGAATCAACATGAAAGATTTAACGTTGTTAAGGAAGAGTTTTGTGTTTTTAACGAAACTACAACAGATAATTAAGTTCGAAATGATATTTAAATGTCTCATGTTATCTTTTTAACTTATATCATAATTTAAATTTATTTTGTAAAGTATGTCTATTATAAATAAAAAATATATTTGACTTTTAATTAAAAGAAGGGTTATGTTTGAATTTTTGGTCGTTGTTTTGGTCGTTCATTATCATCTTCATTTTCGCGTTGATGACCTTTACCCGCTACTGTTTCTGGAAGTCCTGGCGGCAGTCCCGAACTCGGGGGTAATAGTGATTGATCTATTGCGCGAATAGCATTGCTAAATATCGTGATGTTTTTGTTTGATACATGAAAAATGTATCATCATGGAATCGATTTTGAATATACGTGTCCCAGCGGTAATAAATTGTTTTTGCACTTTCTATGGTGTTGGCTTTTGTAAAATCATTATGCATTGCCATGAATGTTTGTCGTATTTCGTTCAATCTATTTATCACGATATCTCTTTCATCATTAACTAGAACAATATCGTATGTCTCTTTTACGTCTTCCATATATTCATATTTTATATATGAATCAGTTGGAATCTTTTCCAGCATATTTTTGAAGTATAGCATTTGCCGGTAAACGTGTGTCATGTGTTGATAATTTGGTAGTTGTTCCCAATCGATTTTAAATTCGTTCGTGCCTGGATTATCTATAACTTCGAACCAGAAAGCATCATCTTTTAGATTTTCTATGACTTTTTCTTCGTTCATTTCATGAACAAGTCTTAACCACTCGGTCCAACTATTTTTTAGGTCTAAGTTTATCTGGTTAGTATCTGGGCTGTGAATTATAATTTCTTCCATCTCAGCAATGGTATCGAATTGAGGCAATTCAATATCATATACCGAATTATCATCTGTATCATGTTCTGGTAATTTTAAATTATCGTCAGCATCATGCTCCGAATTATTATCTGTTATGGGTAATTTTGAATTATCGTCAGTATCATGCTCCGAATTATCATCTGTTATGGGTAATTTTGAATCATCAATTGGTATTGGTAACTCAAAATCTGGTATCTGTTTTAATGATGATAATATTTCAGCTCATAATGCGTTGGTGCTAATGACTGGTTTCTCTTTAATAATAATTACTTTAGGGCCACAGTTGGTAAATTCTTTAAGGTTATAACTACATTTGCATGCACTTATTATACGAACAACGAATAAACTTAAAAATAAAAAGAGATATATTATTTTTTATTCAATTTAATTTATTTCCTTCCTATTTATACTCAAGAGTAGGGAATTGTTCTTCCTGTAGGAAGCTACAGCTTCAAAAAATTTACATTTCCAACAGTTAAAAAACCAGATACTATTATCTTTAGATTTACCCAATACGAGTCGACTGTTTTCTAGACAATCATATTTTTTTGAAAACTTTCCTACACCATACCAAAGTTTAAAGAATTTAAAACAACCTGCGTAAAGAAAAAAATCGTTTACATGTTCGCATGTTTTTACTTTATTACAATTATTAATAATTGTTCCCATTATGATGATTTCCCAAAAATTTAAAATCATCGATTTTTTCTTCATTTTAAAGAAATTGATAATGTGGGGGTTTAATTCTTTTTGACAATTTAATTGTTGTGTCCAAAGCAAGCTCAACTCTGTTAGTTCTTTTTTTTGTTCAAAGAGAAAGTACTCGAAAAAGAGTGTGGTCAAATGTTTTTCAGCGGAATATTTGACTAATGTGTTCGTTTCTCTTAGTTTATCAATGCATCTTTTCGGGTGTTCTCGGTAACGAATTATGTACGAATGTGTTTTGATTATTTTTTCAAAAAATATATATTCGCAGTAAAAGTTGATGGTTATTTGAATGATTTCAAGCGGTAGTAAAATCATGGCTCATCAATGTATTTTTTTTAATAGGTGACCATTATTTTTATATGATTTGTTTGCCGTTTAACTAATAATATTTTATTTTACTTCTTTAAATGTCTAATACGAATATTTAATTAATAGTATAGCTTAGTAATTATAATTATGTAGTAATTATTGGATATTAATATATTTTTTTAGTAAAGTATTTGATTTTGTCGCAGATTTTGACCAAAGTGGGTAATTCGATATTACTCAATTAGTAAAATGTTTTTGGCCATAGAATGGCCCAAAGTGGGTAATTCGACATTACCTGATTTGTAAAAAAATTCATTTTGATTTTGTAATCTAATTTAAGAAATTCTCGAAATATCGATCTTTTGGTCCAAATTATGAATTTTTCCATAGTATTAAATAATAATTTAAAAATATATAAATATACGTATGTTTATTCTTGTTTAAACTAAAAATGCCTCCAATTAAATCTACCAAGCGAACTCTTCTACTACAAAATTTTGATCAATTTGGATTCAAGATTAAAACCGTTGCGCTAAGAAACAAGAAAAATGTGGCAAGATTTTTCTTTTTAAAATTAATGGATCCTGATAGTAGTAATTCTGGTACTGTAATACCTGAAAATATTACTATCGAAGATTTTCCTGACCAAATCGATCCATGGCCAAACACAAATGACTTTTTAATTCATTTTCATCATATTTATATAGTTAAATATAAAGGTGTTAAAATTTATCAAATGAATTTTGCAGAAAAAATTTTTATTTATAGATTCCCCAAAAATGAATCTGTATTGTTAACTGGTACCCATGATGAGATTAGAAAATTACGCATAAAGCAAGAATAATTATTTTATATTTAAATTTATTATTCAAAAAGATTATTGACATTAAAACTCAAAAGCATGTAATAACTTATTTAATAAAATCAATTATTTTGTATTACGTTGTTTAATTCTTTATAATGACAATTTATCAAATATTTATTTTGTCGAAGAGATATTTAAAAATAATGGAGTTCGGAGCTTAACAATTATAATTTTATAAATAAAATTTATTTATTTTAATTGAGTTTAAAATTTAAGGGGTATAAAAACATTGCAAAGGTTTACGATCATTATGGATAACAAATTTTTTTTTGGAATAGATACGATAAACACACTGATTATTGTAATAAACTTGATATCTACATAAATGATCAATTAAAAATGAATTTGTTCCGGGGAAAGGAGGAACGGTAAAAGGTGCTGAAAAAATAGTATTATCAACAATCTTAATCTCAGAAGGAATTGAAGATTCTTTTTCATTGTTTTTTTCATTAATAAAAAATAAACAAGCAGAATTTCTTGAATCCTGAATTGTTGTTAACTTAATCATGAATGGAAGACCTTCAAATTTTTGAATATCTTCATCTTCTAGTATAATATTAGGTTCAGTTTCTTTAAGATAAATTGAACTAGAAATACTTTCCATTTCACTAAAAAATAATATATAGGAATGAAATTTATTTATCAAAAACAAGAAAAATAAATTTAATATTTACATAAAATAAAAGGTAGATGGTGAGGTAGATTATTTTTTATTATTATTTTTTTGAGTTGATTTTATTTATTAAAATTAGATTGATACATGTTATTTATATAAAAATTTTAAAATAAAATATGTTTATTACAAGTAAATACAAATTACATAAATTTATATTCTTTAAAATTTCTACTAATAAAAAATAATAAATATTTAACGTCAAACCACTCTTGCCCACTTGTATCTTCCCATTCATTTTCATCTTCTCGGT